CTATCGAATCGCTAAATGCTAACTTCTAGGCTGCACAAGAGGAGCTCCAGAATATGAATCCAGATCTACATTTTTGGAGGAAACCCCACTCACTGGTTGTTCGCAAGGCACAACGTGTTCAAATAATTTCGAGTGCAAGACAGTGGGCAGCTCACAGTGGTGCTGTCCAACTGTAGGTATGATTTATGCATCTAGGATTACGATATTTTCCAAATAACTATTCAAATCAGCCTCGGTCTGTGGTCCCATAGGAGGTCGTCCTCTAGATACGTCTATTCATTCGCGAGGAACGGTCTATCATGTTGGCGTGGAGAAGCAGGTGGGTGCCAACAAAAATGTAATTCTAGATAGGAATAAAAGCGGTACGGAGATAAGCATAAAATCTCTACCATGATTGAAAAAGATAGAGTGAACCGTAATTGAAGGTCAGAGCTGGCAATCGAATTCTTCAAAGTCCTATGATAATGCTTGACTCGATAAAATTCAAAAACTCGTTAGACACTGTAACATAAGCAATCAGTACTTTGAAAAGTAAGATTGTCTGAACTACGCACTTGAACCAAAGTTTCTTGATTTTTTGAGCTTGTCTTGCCATTACTTGTGCTTGTTCTGACTATAAAACACTTGAGAGAATCCTTTGTTGCATCTAAAGGTCAATGTGAAACATTTTTTAGGGTACAAGCCCGTCAACAAGATTCTTTTACGATCCAGCCTCGGGAAAATGTTCTCCGTTCACATATCTGGGTTCCTCAGGCAATTACAACAACTTCATGTCCAGAATCGACTGCGAGCTGTATTGCGCAAGATGTTAGTTCTATCTAGCTTCAAATCATAAATAACTTCAACACAATTTCAGTACAATGCGATAGAGGCAATCCACTCCGAATAGGAGACGTTACCCAATCTTGTCAGAGCAATAACGACTGCCCGTCTTCTCACGAATGCAAAGTTGACCAAGGAGTCTGTTGTCCGAGAATGCGTAAGAAAAGTAGAAATAGTTGCCTTTCCATGGTAAATGAAAATTCCCAGAAACAATCTGCACTCAGCCTTTACGAGTTGGAAACTGCGATAGATCCGTGAGACGATACTGGTATTCAGCATCTTCTCGAGAATGCCAGTCATTCGAGTTTACGGGTAAAATACTTCTTGATTCGAATGGATTAGTTATTCAAAATACAATGGTCACCTTACATTGAATTATCCAAAATACTGGGTATTCAAAAGCATATCTCAGGCTGTCAAGGAAACGATAACAATTTCGAAACGTTGGTTGACTGCC